ATTTAGGAACAAATCTAGTAAAATATATGAAATAACTGTGTGCAAAACTAAAAACACTGATGAAAAAAATTAAGAGATATATCATGTTCATGGATTGGAAGACTCAATATTGTTAAGATATCAATTCTCTCCAAATTGATATATAGATTAATTGCAATTCCAACCAAAACCTTAGCAGGATTTAAAAAAAATATTTTATTGAGGTGAAATTCACACAACATAAAATTAACCATTTTAAAGTGAACAATTCAATGACATTTAGTATACTCACAGTGCTGTGCAACCATCACCTCTATCTAGTTTCAAAACATTTTCATCATCCCCAAAGAAGACTGCATATCTGTTAAGCAGTCATTCCCCTTTCCGCCACCTTTTTTCCTCAGCCCCTGACAACCACCAATCTGCTGTCTCTTTGGACTTGTCTATTTTGGACATTCATGTAAGTGGAATCATACAATATATGGTCTTTTATGTCTGCTTTTTTTCACTTGGTATGTTTTCAAGGTCCCATCCACATTGTAGCATGTATCAGAGCTTCATTTCTTTTATGGCTGAACAATATTCCATTGAATGGATAGATCATATTTTGTTTATTCATTTGTCAGTTGATAGGCATTTGGGCTGTTCCCCCATCTTGGCCATTATGAAGAGTGCTGCACCAAATGTGTGTATGCAGACTTATTTGAGTCCCTGTTTTCAGTTGTTTTGGGTCAGATGAGTTTTGCAGGCTTTCAATGCACCTTCCACAGTTTTTCTGTTCCCTTCATGTTTTACTTCTTCTTGTCCTTCTGTCTAACAGACCTGGACCTAAGACCATGGGATGTTGGTTCTACTACAGAGTTCTGGGTACAAGTACTGTGGGGGATAATTTTTTCTTTATAAGTATCTGGACCAATCAGGATTATTGACTACCAATCCCAGAATCAGACTCTAGCTAATTTAAGCAGAAATAATCCAATGAGATAATCTTGTACCTCACAGAATACACAGGAATCTGGACCATCGGCCTTGAGAATGTGTGGGAACTGGGGGAGAGTGGGCATGCAGGGACAGCACACTTTAGGAAGAGCTGCATTCAGCAGGCAGCCCTTAGCCTCCAGACTTTGGACAGTGGCTACAGCCATCACTGAGGTGAGGCACACTGTTTTAGCTCCCTGAAGACACACACAGACACATACAGAAAGACACACACACACACACACACACACACACACTACTCTCATGTGCAGAGGCAGAGCTCTTCATGTCAGCCTGAATTATCACTATTGGAAAGTCCAACTGAAGGCTTGAGAATAGCTCTTTCCTCTGGTCCTACATGGTTGGAACAGATCCCTTCTTGTAGAACCACTTTCGTGTGCCTTTTCTGTACAGACCTGTCCTATCTCCTTGTCTGGAAGAAAACAGGATGCTTTCTCAAATAAGCTGAAGTAGTGCTGCTCGAACTATCAATATTAACAGACCAGTGGTGCTTTTTTCTAATTCACTTTTGGTTTCTTTCTGGAGGCTATGAGAAGAATCTTCCCCCTCTCAGTTCATACTTTTTTTTGGTTGTTTTTATTATTGAGATATAACTGACATATAATGCGTAAATTTAGGGTGTATAATTTAAGGTTTGATACATTTATATATTGCAATATTTTTTTTTAAAGATTTTATTTATTTATTTGAGACAGAGAGAATGAGAGAGACAGAGAGCACATGACAGGGGGAAGGGTCAGAGGGAGAAGCAGGCTCCCTGCCGAGCAGGGAGCCCGATGCGGGACTCGATCCCGGGACTCCAGGATCACGACCTGAGCCGAAGGCAGTTGCTTAACCAACTGAGCCACCCAGGCGCCCGCAATATTTTTAAGTTTAAATTCAATTAGCCAACATAGAGTACATACTTAGTTTCAGATGTAGTGTTCAATAATTTATCAGTTGCGTATAACACCCAATGCTCATCATATCACGTGCCCTCCGTAATGCCTACTGTGGCTTTCGCTAGCACCTCTATCATATCACATAATTATAATTTCTTTTTTGTGATAAGAACAATTAAGATCAAATTTTTTTAGCAACTTTGAAGTTTATAATACAGTATTGTTGCTTATAATCACTATGCTGTGCATTAGATATCCGGAACTTATTTACTTGTTAGTTGCAAGTTTGTAACCTTAAACATCTCTCCAATCCTCCCCCCACCCCCAGGCCCTGGTAACCACTATTCTACTTCCTGTTTTTACAACTTACGCCTTTTTAGATTTTCATATAAGTGATATACAGTATTTGTCTTTGTCTGACTTACCTCACTTAGCATATTGCCCTCAAGATCCATCCATGTTGTAGCAAATGGCAAGGTTTCCTTCTTCCTCATGGATGAGTAATATTCTATCGTGTGTGTATGCATGTGTATGTGTGCATGCACATGTGTGTGTGTGTGTACTACATCTTCTTTATCCATTTATATGTTGTCATTTAGGTTGTTTCCATTATCTTGGCTAATGTGAATAATGCTGCAATGCCAGCAGGATTTTTTTTTTTTGTAGAAATCAACAAATTTATTCTAAAATTTGTATGGAAAGGCAAAGAAAGTAGAATATTCAAAATGATTTTGAGTAAAAGACATAGAAACAGAAGACTCCCATTATCATATTTCAAGACTTACTAAAAAGCTACAGTAATCAAAATAGTGTGGGATGACTAAAAAATGTATGTACATAATAGCGTCCAGAATATGACCTGTAGATGGTCAACTGATTTTAAACAAAGGCAATTTGAAGCAGATGGTTATCTGACACTCCACAAAGAATATATCCAAACAGTTAGCAAACATATGGAAATGTATTCATTTTCATTAGTCATCAAGGAAATGGGATACCATTGTTCTACCTTCCAAAAGGCTAAAATTAAAGACTAAAAATTATAATTGTCAGTGAGGATATCAAGCAACTGGAACTCATATACTCTTGCTGAGAGCATAAACTCTTAAATACTCTTGCTGAGAGCATACAACCATTTTGGAGAGCTGTTTGTTTCTACTAAAACTAAACATTTGCATACCCTATGACACAGCCATTCTACTTCTAGAAATATCCCAAAAGAAATGCATGGCTCGGTTGGGGGAGCTAAGATGGTGGCATAGTGAGAGGACTCTAGGCCTGCCTCATCCCTCAAACACAGCTAGATAACTATCAAATCATTCTGAAGACCCAAGAAATCGACCTGAGGACTGATAGAACAAACTGTACAACTAGAGGGAGAGAAGAAGTCACATCGAGGAAGGTAGGAAGTGCAGAGACATGGTTTGGGGGAGAAACAGATCACAGGTGCTGCAGAGGGGAGAGAGACATGGTCATGGAGAAAGGTGAGAGAGAGTGGAGCATACAGGGATACACACAAGGAGAACACTTCCCCAAAGCCATTGGCTGGGAAAATGGGAGGGGCTGATTTTTGTGAGTTTTTTCAACCAGTGGGACTCAAAGACTGGAGTTTTAGAGGTTGGTGGGCTTGACTAAGATAGAGGCCTGAGGGTGCTTCCCTACTCCTGGAGAGAAGGCAGGCAAACAACCCTGGGGCAGACTAGGTGAAATGAGGATCACCTGAGATGCACGGGGAGGGACTGTTCACTCTTCTTGGAGCACATCTGTGAGAGGTGGCATTCACAGAGCCACCTCTCTGGGGACAAAAGAACCAGTGGGTTCCATTTCCCTCCCCTCAGCATAGGTGCAGAGACACCTGCTGAGGACAGCTAATCTGGACACTGGCTGTTCAGCCTGCTTTGCTCCAAATTCCACACCGCTGCACTCTGGCAGGACTGCCCTTCCTGGTCAAAACTGCATCTGTCCCAGTACAGCAAGACCCCCCCACAGAAGACCAGGCCCCTGCCACAGCACATCCCTAAAGTTTGGAGTTTTAAAAGTCAGAAGACTTGGCTGGGACAGAGCCCAAAGTGCACTGTGTTGCTCCAAGCAGGCAAGCGACCTGGAGACAGACAACATGAAAACGGCAATCTGAAAAATGCCTGGGATGCACAAGAGGAAATTACTCGTTCTTCTGGAGGTGCTTCCTAGAGAGCAGCAAGCAAGGAGAACCCTCTCGGGGGACAAAGGAGCAGGCTAGCACCATTTCCCTCCCCTGCCCCTCAGCATAATCCAACTTCAGTAAACAACACAGAACCAACACTGGCTGCCTAACTTGCTTACAGCAAGTCCTGCCCCTCTGTGCTCTGCTGTGCTGCTTTTCTTGGGTAAGTGTTCCTGAGGACCAGCCCAACAGGCCCCTTCCCCAGAAGATTAGCACAAACCCCTCCATGCACCATGGCTGCCACTCTGGAAAACAGTATGGAGGTTCCTCAAAAAGTTAAAAATCTACCTTATGACCCAGTAATGGCACTACTAGGTATTTACCCAAAGGTTACAAAAATACTGATTCAAAGAGATACATGCACCCTGATTTTTATAGCACCATTGTCAACAATATTAAACCTGAAACTAATATTACACTGTAATGTTAACTAACTGGAATTAAAGTAAAAACTTGGAGGAAAAAAAAAGTAATGCATGCTTCAGTGCCCTGAAATACGTGTTTAAGAATATTCATAACAGTATTATCAGTTATAGCCCAAAGCAGGAAGTGCTCCAAATGGCCATTAGTAGAATGGATAAATAAATTAGAATATTATTACACAGAATACTATATAGTAATGAAAAAGAACAAATCACTTCTACATACAATGTCATGAATGAATTTCACAAATGTAATGTTGTTATTTTAAAGTTCATTTATTTATTTATTTTTAAAGATTTTATTTATTTGAGAGAGAGAGAGAGTGAGCATGAGAGGGGGGAGCGGGAGAGGGAGAAGCAGACTCCCCGCTGAGCAGGGAACCTGATGCGGGACTCGATCCCGGGACTCCAGGATCATGACCTGAGCTGAAGGCAGTCGCCCAACCAACTGAGCCACCCAGGCGCCCAAAGTTCATTTATTTTAAACTTATCTCTATACCCAATATGGGGCTCAAACCCATGACTGGGAGATCAGGAGTCACATGTTTCCCCAAATGAGCCAGCCAGACATGCTGGGAAAAGTTTTCAATTAGCAATAATCATGCCTCAGATAAATCTCATTGGCTGTGATACTGGCATTGTGCAAAGCTACAAATGTAACATTGTTGAAAAGAAATCAGATGTAAAAGAATATATACCATATGATCTTTTTACATAATGTTTAAAACAGGGAAATCTATTATATTTGAAGTCATATAGATGGTTACATCTAGGAGGAGAGAAAAATGATTGGCATGGGGTACAAGGAAAGACTTCTGAGGTGTTAGTAATATTTCATTTCTTAACCTGGTGGCTGTGTTAACTTTGTGAAAATTCTTCAGGTTGTGTGGTTTTAATTTGAGTACTTTTCTTTATGTAAATCTTTCTTAAGAAGTTTATTTTAAAAATACATATATATGTATATATTTGTTTTTGCCTTTTTGATCTTAAAATGGAATCAAACTGCACATATACTTAAACGATTTCCTTTTTTCATTTAATATTTTTATTCTGGAATTATACATTATTTATATATTTATTTTATATGTTTATATATGCAACTAGAGTTAGATCATTAGATCTCTGTATGGTCATTATTATGTTTGAGGAAAATCACTCTTGCTGTTATTTGGGGAGCAGATCTGAGAGGGAAAAACTGGCGACAAGGAAAGAAGTTAGATGACTGCCAAAATTTTGGAGAAATTAGGGTGACCTGATCAAAGACAGTGGAAAGAACAATGACAATGGGACTTGAAGCATTCCCATAAGAGCCAGTAAACTAATTGGGTGTTGGAGGTAGTAGAAAGTAAAAGCTCTAAGTTAATTTCCATGCTTTTTACATGAATGATAGGTATTCCAACTGTAGCTACACATTAGAATAACTTAGAGGGCTTTTTAAAAATAATAAGAATGTGCTTTCTCTTTCGATAAAAACCAATTAAATTAGAATATCTGAGAGTAGGGCCCATGCTTTGGTACTTTTTCAAGATTCCAGGCAATTTCATTCTGTGGCGTGGCTGAGAACTTTTGCACTAGACTTTAAATCTCTCATGGACTGGGAACATCTAATTTGTTATTGAGTCCTAAGAACCTGGCAAATGTTTGATATTCAGGATATGTTTAACAGAATTAATAGATAAAATGAAGGAATATAGGAAAGAGGAACAAGTTCTGGGCAGAATAGGTTCTGGACATTTTGAATTTGAGATGCTGTGATACATCCATGAGGTGACATGAGGTGGACCTATAAGGGCTTTTAGCTCTAACTCCAGAAAAAACTTAGGGTTGAAATGTAAACTTAGGAAACATGGCAAAATGGCTGGTGGTTTGAGCCACGGGTATACATCTAAACATGGCTCCGGAGGACTACAGACTTTGAGAAACAAGAGGAAGAGACAATCTAGAGGAATGGATGAGGGAATAATCCAGCCCCTCAGTTAATGGCCCATAATCTTGGTCCAGGAATTGCATTGTTTATACTTCTTCTTCTACTCCCCTCCCTCTAAGGGCTAGGACTCCAGTTCCTACTAACAAACATTCTAGATGCAGCTTCCTACTGCCTAACTGTGAGTCCTTTGACTTTCTGTACCTCAGAGTCCCAGTAGTTGCCTTACTCCCATGATTGTGTCTAATTCCAATTCCCTGGCTTTCTGTCTTTGGTGTTTAGCTGTAATTATTTTGTTGTTGTTGACTCATAATATATAACATGATGGTTATAAGAGAGAGAAAGATTTTTGAGGCTTTTAAAGCTCTACAATTTTTTTTTTTTTACAAATATGCATATATTTTCCTTTTGGTAAAAATTTGGTTAATGAAAACCTTACTTAGATAATTTTAATCTTGCAATCATCATTAAAACTGTAAATGTGTATATTTTATTATCTTTGAGAATTAAATGGTGAAAACATCCCACTTATTCATAAGAATATTACCGATTTCGGGGTGCCTGGGTGGCTCAGTCCGTTAAGCGGCTGCTTTTGGCTCAGGTCATGATCCTGGGGTCTTGGGATCGAACCCCACATCCGGCTCCCTGCTCAGCGGAGAGCCTGTTTCTCCCTCTCCATCTGCCTGTCACTCTGCCTACTTGTGCTCTCTCTCTGTCAAATAAATAAATAAAATCTTAAAAAAAAAAAAAGAATATTACCGATTTCAAGTGTGTTCACTAGTTTTTTGCTCCATCTCAAATATTTCTCTTATTTATAGTCTGAAATAATCACCTCTAGCTGGGTGCAAACAGCTTCCTGTTCATGCCATTAAAAATAATGGTGCATGAGAATGTTTCAAATTTAAATATTATAAGGTTTAGTTGTAAGTTTATGTCAAGGGACCAGACATAGTGAATTCTTATATATAAATTGGTCTGATCATGTCAGAAAATATTTCTAAGCAGCAATTCATCTTACTAATATGTAATCAAGAAACAGCATTTGTTAGCTCCTTGATATTTTGTTTTGGTGATCGCTGCATTAAAAAAAAAATACCTTATTTTTGTTTAATCTTGAAAGTTTGCCAAAAAAAATACTTTTGAGTTTAACATACTTGCTATGTTGGGAATATCGAGATAAACCCATGTTTTTAAGAATAGTAGGCTGTATCAGTCAGGGTTCCATTAGAGAAGCAGGATCAATAGGACACACACACACCTATCTATATCTATCTATATCTACTTCTATTTATATAGTAAGGGATATATAATAGATTTTAGACCTTATGCAATTACAGGCGCTAAGTAGTCCCTGGAGGCTATTTCTTCTGTATCTAAAGCTATATCCTGAAGGCAGCAGCAAACAGGCATTTGGGAAGGGCGGATGGATATGAAGTGGGGGAAGCAAGAAACGGATGAACTATAACCCACAAAGAGGAACTGGAACTCGTCAGTGTCTCTCCGTCTTTACGCCTAGATGGCAGGGTGTCTTGCAGGTGAAGTTGGGGCTCTGCCATGGGGCTTAATAAGCTCCCGGCGCAGGAGTCAGAGAAGCTGAAGAAGGAGCCAGCAGGTGGTGTGGCAGCTGGGGGCCTCACTGCCGCCGGCACCATCCAGAGGAGCCTACAGATAAGCAGCACTGAGTGTGAGATGCAGCCGGGTCTCATTCCTGCACTGAGCTTCCAGGTGTAAAAAGTGAAGATAGCTGCTGTTTCGTCTGCACATTTCAAATCTTGCCCAATGCCTCTTGTGGCCCAGACTAACCCAGAACTACGCCGGGGAGGGAATTCTGGAAAATGTAGTTCCGGTCTAAGTTGACATGATGTAGATACACATGCTTGTCCATTTGTCTGTCATTAGACACTGATAGTGACCTTGTGAAGAAGTTAGAAAATATATATTCATGTTACTGATGAGAGAGGACATCGAGCCTCTGAATAGTCATGTCATGGCCAAGGCCCCAGGAAATGAGAGGAGGGTGGAACCAAGGTCAGTGTGCTGGTCTTCTGATTCTCCGCCCTGTGCCCTTCTAACTCTCCCACTGCCTGTAGACACTGGTGCCACCCCCAAAGATTATATTGCTCCCTTGTGGCATTTATGTAGATTTGATGCATTATTTTTCCAATCTTACTTATATGACATTCATATTGAAATCATTGGGCCCTTTGAATATATCTGGGAGGACTAGATAAGTAGTTATACTCAACGAGAACACTAACAAAAGTTCAAAAGAACTGATTTAAATTTTAAAACAATGGATTTTGCTTTCCTTGATTCTCTTTTCCTCCTCTCTTAGATTTTCTTCTTTAATAGTTGCAAGGACAACTAATTCAGGAATGATTTGTATTACTTGAGTGGACTGCTTTCTGGATGGTATTGTGTGACTTCGTTCCATTGATGCTGACTCATTCCATTGCGGCTGGATAATGTGCTATTACTTCAAAAGGTCAAAGTCTCAAATTTCTCTAAAGATTACATTGTGGGTAGAAGCAAAAAAGGAGGGGTTGCGAGTAGTGGGTGTATTTAACAAGTTAATCCCCAGTAATTGAGAACTAAAGACATACAGGTAGTCTAATAAGAATTCATTTTCTTGGTTGAAAAATGGTAACATCCAGAGCATAAATTCTTGTACCTGTGAGTTAGGTTTATTTGGTATCAGCTACTGATCTTCTGTGGAGGGTTAAGTAAAAATCATTCTGCTTCTTTTTATATAAAATGGGACTAATCTTTCCCCTACCATTTCCTACACAGACATAAGCTGAAAATTAATAGTTAGCAATATAACCATTTGGATGAGACAACAGGCTACAGCTCTGTAAATGCAATCTTATATTCAATCTTGGTTTCCCATCAGGATTTCTGATTCTGATGAAGCTAAGTCCTCAGTGCATTGAAAATCAACTGCTATCTCATCTCCAGCAATCTCACATACTGCAACCCACTTCAAATCACTTTCTTTTTAGCTTTATAATCAATAACTCATGAAAAAAAAAGTATGTCAAATGATACGCTTTCTTGAGTTTCTAAAAACACGTTAGCATTTTGGCTTGTCATATGTCTAATTCATCCTACTTGAACTCTGCTTTGTAGAAAATTTCTAGCACAGTGCCTAAAACAGAGTATTTTATAAATACTAGTTTCCTTTTCTCTTCATCAGTCTGGGAAATATTACTGTGTAGCAAAGTTTTTCAATTGAATCTTCATTTATTCTAAGTAGAATCATAGACTTTCTTTTTGGGTTGGAAGCATCATATTGTCAAAAGTAAATTTATCCTTATTTTATAATTAAAAAGCAATTAACATTGATTTTTATTTTTATTTTTGGGATAGATTTGGGGAACCAATACATCTAGTGCTGGGCAAGAGAAACCAAGGAAGGGAAGTACTCTATTTATGTTGCACCCCTTGGGCTGTATTTTCAAAGAGTTGGGTTCTTTTATTCTAATGCCGTTGAAAATATGATTAGGAATTTTGTTCTGGATCCAATTTTTTTAGGGACAAAGTATCCATGCTTGCTGTTTCCCTAGTTTAGTAGATCTAGCACTCAGTGTCAAGGGTACAGTAGTTGCATTAAAGGTACTAAAAATGTGCTTGTATATTCCTTCTCATTGTGCAGATACCAAGCCAGACACTTCACTAGCTACCTAACAACCAATTATACCATCTGGAGAAACAACCTAACTTTTC